GGAACAAGATGGCCACTGTCCTGTGTGGCTATGACTTAGCAAAAACTCTGAGCACCCTCCAAATCTCGGTTGTTCCCACAGAGTTCCAGTGCACTCCGCCCTCTGCTGGAGTCCAAGGTGAGTGGCTGAATCTAATTTAGTGCTTTGTCCTGGCCCTCTGCACTGTGGAGCCGGCTTGGGATTTTAACCCCTAAAGAGCTGCTCACAGCTAAAACAGCTTCTGTCCATGGGCTCCCAGCCCACATTCTCGTGCCTCCACAGACCCACTTTCTCGTGCCTCCACAGACCCACCAGGCTTGATTCAGTGTCCTTTTTTCCTGTCCCTGGTTATCTGGTCTTCTCTGGCTGCTTTTCTGTGTTTTTCCAATGATTTGTCTTTATTTTAGTTGTAATTCCAGTTTGGTCCTGGGAGATGGTCTGTGTAGCTTCCATTCACTCTGCCGCCATTTTGGAAAATCCTGTTTTTTATTTTTTTTTAGAGAGAGAGGAAAGGAGAGAGAGATAGAAACATCAATGTGAGAGAGAAACATTGATAGGCTGCCTCCTGCATACCCCCTATTGGGGATCGAGCCCACAACTCTCACATATGCCCTGACCAGGAATCGAACTGGGACCATTCAGTCCATGGGATGATGCTCAATCCACTAAGTCACACCAGCTGGGCTAGTCTTTATTTTTTACTCAGTGTAACAATCTCTACTTTAACTCAAGTTGTTGGAGCTTAATTTTATCTCTGCCTCTTTGAACTTTATTTCTGTCTCCTCAACTCAGCTAGACTGTTCTGTTTTGGTACACTCACTTCCCAGCACTGTGGTGAAGTAATTGTCCCAGGCTGAAAGTGTGGTTGATCATGGTGTTCACAGTTGTGCAATGCCTATTGCCTGGAGAGTGACCTCATATATTTTTTTAAAGTTTATTTATTTATTTTTTAGAGAGAAAGGAAGGGAGAGATAGAAAAATTGATGTGAGAGAGAAACATCAATCGGCTGCTTCATGCACACCCTCTACTGGGGATCGAGCCCGCAACCCGGGCATGTAGCCTGACCGGGAATCGAACCAGGACTTCTCAGTCCATAAGATGACACTCAATCCACTGAGCCATACTGACCAGGCTACCTCATATTTCAAATACAGTTTTACATTTCTTTATGGTAGGAGGGAAAGTCTAATAGTTAACCCATAATAACTGGAAGCCAGTCATAGCAATGTGGAGCCCATCATTGACCATTTAACAAAATGAAATAGTACTTCTACTTTTGGTTATAATTTAAATAATTAAGAGACCACAGGACAAGGAGATGAATTGTAGCAGAGTATGTAGTTTTGCTTATTTGATGACATATAGATATAGATAAGAGTTCAGAGAAGTTCAGGTGACTGGAATAAGTGGGATAGAGAATCAAACAGGAGGAAACTGTGAGAGAAAAAAATTGCATAAATCTACCATTGAGTCTTTGGCTGAAACATAAACTGTGCATGTTGGGGTAAAATTCTGGAAAGTAAACAAAGAACAACTACTGGGAGTTATAAGATAAACAAGTGTCTGAGTTTACTCAGGACTGGGGGACATTTGAGTTCAGACTGGACAGAAGTAAAAACCTTATAGCACACCTGGGGTGTTCAGTAGATATCCAGAAGGGCTATACCTTAACAGTATGGTTGTACTAACCCTAGAGTAAAGGTTAGTCAAGGGCCACTTTCCCCCAGTGAACAACCATTTAGAAAAAGCTTTAAAAAAATCAAGCTAATCTGAAAGTAAGTTAACTGCTTTTCAAAACAAACTTTAAAAGTGTATAAAGGAAGAAAACATAATCCAGGAAAAGAGTACTAATCACATGAGGAAACAGAAACATATGAGCCACTCTATGAGAAAACTCTTTGGTCAACAGAAACAGATGGGGGAAAAGCAGACAAGGACTTTTAAAAGGCTATTATGCCCAGAATAGTCAATACAATATTAAAGGAGAAAAACAATGTCAGAGGACTGGCACTACTGGACTTCAAGACTTATTATAAGCTATAGTAGTTCAGGTAGTGTGGTTTTTGTTGAAAGAACAGAAACACAGATCAATGGAACAGAACAGAGAGCCCAGAAACACATCCACATGAATATAGTCAACTGATCTTTGACAAAAGAGGAAAGGCCCGGGCCATGTGGCTCAATGGATTGAGCATCATCTCATGGACTAAGAGGTCCCGGTTCAATTCCTAGTCAGGGCACATGACCATGTTGCGAGCTTGGTCCCCAAAAGGGGGCATGCAGGAGGCAGCCATTTGATGTTTTGCTCTCACATCAGTGTTTCTATCTCTCTCACCCTTCCTCTCTCTCTAAAAAATAAGTTAAAAAATATTTTTAAAAAGAGGAAAGGCAATACAATAAACAAAATAGTCTTTTCAACAAATAGTATTGCAACAATTGGACATTTACATGCAAAATAAAGAATCTAGACACAGATCTTACACCTATCACAAAAATCAACTCAAAATGTATCATAAATTACAATGTAAAATGCAAAACTATGAAACTTCTAGAGGACAACACAGGAGAAAATGAGTATGGCCTTGAGTATGGTGATGACTTTATTTTTTATTTAACATCAAAGGCATGATCCATTGAAAGAAATAATTGATGAGCTTACTTCATTAAATTAAAAAACTTCTCTGTGAAAAGACATTTTCAAGAGAATGAAAAGTCAAGTCACAGAGTAGAGAATATTTGCAAAAGACATAGTATCCAAAATCTTTTAAAACTCAACAATAAGGAAACAAACAACATTATTAAAACATGGGCAAAAGACCGTAATAGACACCTCACCAAAGAAATATACAGATGGCAAATAAGCATATAAAAAGATACTCAACATTGTGCGTTATTAGGGAATTGCAAATTAAAATGAGATACCATGCCCTGGCCGGTTTGACATTGGTCCGCGGACCAGAGAGTCCCAGGTTCGGTTCCCACTAAGGGCACATACCTCGGTTGCGGTTTGTCCCCAGCCTCGGTTGGAATCGTGTGGGTGGCAGCCACTCGATGTGTCTCTCTCACATCAGTGTTTCTCTCTCTCTCTTCCTCTCGTTCTCCCTCCCGCTCTATCTAAAGATAAATGCAAATAAATAAATAAATAAATAAATAAATAAAATGAAATACCACTACACACCTATTAGTAGGGCCAAAATTCAAAACACTGACACCACCGATGCTGCCAAAGATGTGGGGCAACAATAACTCATTGAATGCTGGTGAGAATGCACAAGGGTTCAGCCACTTTAGAAGACAGTTTGGCAGTTTCTTACAAAACTAAATGTACTGATACCATATGACCCATAATAGCACACCTTGCAATTTACCCAAAGGACTTGAGTACTTATATTTACATAAAAACCTGCACACATGGTTTTAACAGCTTTATTGATAAGTGCCAAAACTTTGAAGCAACCATGCTGTCTTTCAGTAGGTAAATGAATAAATTGTGGTATATCCAGACATTGGAATATTATTCAGCACTGAAAAGAAATGAGTTATCAAGTCATGAACAGACATGGAGAAAACTTATATGAATATTACTAAGTGACAGAAGCTAATCTGAAAAGACTGCATACTGTATTATTCCAACTGTATGCTATTCTGGAAAAGGCAAAAGTATGAAGACAGAAAAAGATCAGTGATTGCTAGTATTTAGAGGGTTGGGAAGAATGAATAGGCAGATCACATAAGATTTTAGAGAAGTGAAACTATTCTGTATGAGGCTGTAATAGTAGATACATATTATTGTGCCATTGTTCAAATCCATAGAATGTACACCACCAAGAGTGAACCCAAATGTGAACTGTAGACTTTTGGTGATAATGATTGTCAGGGTAGGTTCATTGATTGTAACAAAGGTACCACTGGTTCAGGATGTTGATGCTATGGAAGGCTGTGCATATATCTGTGTTTGAGTATATGGGAACTCTACACTTTGAGTTCAATTTTGCTGTGAACTTAAAACTGCTCTAAAAAATAGCCTGTTAAAAAAAAAGATATTAAAATATGCATAAGTATTTAAAGGAAAGTAAGAATATAAGAAAAGTAATGAAATATACATGTAGAACCAAATTAAACTTCTAGATCTGAAAAACAAAACTTGAAATAAAATATTTTACTGGGTGGGCTTAAGAATTCTAAAAACTGGCCCTGGCCAATTTGGCTCAGCAGTTAGAGCATCAGCCCTCGGGCTAAAGGGTCAAGGGTTCAATTCTTGGTCAAGGATTGCAGATTTGATCCCAGCCCCAGTCCGGGTCGTGTGGGAAGCAACAAATTGAAGTGCCTTTCTTACATGGATGTTTCTCTCTTTCTCCCTCCCTTCTACTCTATCTGTGGAAAAATATCCTTGGGTGAGGATTAACAAAAAAAAAAGAATTCTAAAAACTGTAGATCAGTGAACTTGAAAGCAAAGCAATAAGAACATTCCATTTGCTTTCAGCTTGCCAGGCCAACAATACACTTTTACTGTCCTACCACAGGGGTATATTAATGCCATTGTGTTGACTGAACCTAGCGAACAAAAAGTAAACTTATTGGTAAGACATTTGCATATCAGTGTGAGAAATAAATCTCAAAAAATTTCAGGGGCCTTTTGCCTCGGTTAAATTTCCAGTGGTGTGGAGTATGTCAAGTTATACTTTCATCCAGCCCCTCTTACAACAACAACAAAAAAAGACACAATGCCTACCGAACCTCTTTGCATTTTGGAGGCAACATATTCCTCATTTGTATATGCTACTCTGGCTTATTTGTTGAGTGACCTGAAAGCTGCTAGCTTTGAGGGTGGCCCAGAACAACAGAAGATTCTGTAACAGGACCAGGCAGCTGTTCAGGGTGCCCTGTTGGTTGAGCTATATGATCCAGCAGATCCAGCGGTGCTGGCAGTGTCCCTGGTAGACAGGGATGTTGTTTGGAGCCTTTGGCAGGCTCCTGTAGGTATAGAAAATGATAATCTTTTTATTTGATTTAATTTTAGAACCAGAACCTGAAGAGCCTGAAGACTTATTAGAAGGTGAAAAAGTTGAAGAGGTAGAAGAAGAGGTTAAAAGAGAAGAGGAAGAAGAAATAGAGATAGATGCAGAACAATCAACAATACCAGCCAATTTAGAACGACTTTGGTCCTTTTCCTGTGACTTAACCAAAGGCCTTAATGTGAGCAGCCTTGCCTGGAATAAAACAAATCCAGTAAGTTTTTGAATGTTTTAACAGTTCCATCTCTAGCATTTAAGGGCAGTTGTCAAGCCCTAATGACATTTTGTTTTTCTATTAGACAAAGTATTTAAATGGACATAACCCCTAGTTTATTTTATTTTTTATTTTTTATTTTTTTATAATGAATTTTTATTTATTTTTTTGTTACAGATATTTTACCTTTTTACCCCATTGGCACCCCCCACCCCACCCCCCCTCCACCCTGTCCCTGGCTTAGTTGTCCATGTCCATTGGTCATGCATACATGCATATAAGTTCTGTGGTTTATCTCTTCCCACCCTCCCCGCCCCCCATCCCCTCTTCTGAGGGATGTCAGTCTGTGCCCTACTTCCATGTGTCTGGGTATACTGTATTCCTCAGACTGCATAACCCCTAGTTTAAAAATGCCTCTTGCCCTGGCCAGTTTGGCTCAGCGGTTAGAGCATCGGCCTGCGGTCCCCAGAGACCTGGATTTGGTTCCGGCTAAGGGCGCGTACCTCGGTTGCAGTTTGTCCCCAGCCCTGGTTGGTTGTGTGGGTGGCAGCCACTCAATGTGTCCCTTTTATGTCGATGTTTCTCTCTTCTCTCTGTTCCTCTCTCTCCCTCTCACTCTACCTGAACAAAAAATGGAAAAATGTCCCCGGGTAGGGATAAAAAAAAAAAAAAAAAAAGCCTCTAAAGCAAGTTCATGTTTCAAAAAGGGGAAAAGGCATATAGTTATAAAAAAATGTTTTTTCTTTAATATAAAAATATAGTTTATTTTAAGAGATGTACTAGGGGCATGACATTCTCTGAACCCATATCAGCTATTGAGAAATGAACTACAATATAGTATATAATTGATTTATATTAACAATTTACTAAATTCATGTACCCAAATTTGTATTCTCTTTAAATTAATCATATTCAGAAAGATATGCTTTATCTAATAACAGCGAAATTGTGCAAAATAATTTTGAGATCCCTTAAAATGCTATCACTACTAATGATAAATACTTAAACAGTACTTACTATGTGGGCATATTATAAACGTTTTACTTGTACTAACATAAAAACTCTGTGAGTTAGGTATTAATTTCCCCATTATGTTGATGAGGAAATTGAAGCACAAAAAGTATAAATAACTTGCCCAAAGTTATGCAGCGAAAGTGAAACAGCTAGAGTTTAAACCCCGACATCTGCCTTCAGTTTCTTGGTCTTAAATATTACACTACTAAAAATCATCTTGAGACAAATTAGATGAATCATCAAGCTGTGGAGTGGTATGTTTGCTTTTAAAAAGGAGATGATTATGGAGTAATGAGACTTATTTTCTTTTGGGGTTTATAAACTGCTTCTGAAGACAAGATTCTCAACTAGTTATTCCAAAACCGTTTTTTTGTTTTTTTTTAAATTGTTTTTTCTTTATTAATTTTAGAGAGAGAGGAAGGGGAAGACAGATAGACAGAGAGAGAGAGAAACATAAGTGAGAGAGAACATTGACTGGCCACCTCCTGCATGCTCCCCACTAGGAATTTGGCCCACAACCTGGGCATAGGCCCTAACAGGTATTTGAACTGGTGACCTCTTGGTGCATGGGTCAAAGCTCAACCACTGAGCCGCACTGGCTGGGCCCAAACCCTTTTGTGTAATGTTAATCAACACCTTTGGAATGAATATTTAGTGTATTTTTAAAGTGATCAAAAGTAATTTATTTAAATTGTATTATATATGTTTAAGAATTAGCCTTATTATTTTATTGCCACATCTTTTAAGATACTATGTGCAAATATGATAGTTGTTATGGTTATTAAAAAACAGCACTGGCTGGTTTGGCTCAGCGGTTAGAGCATTGGCCTGAGGACCAGAGAGAGCTGGGTTTGGTTCCCACTAAGGGCATGTACCTCTGTTGCAGTTTGTCCCCGGCCCCCGGTTGGGGTCATGTGGGTGGCAACCACTCGATGTGTCTCTCTTACATCAATGTTTCTCTCTCTCTCTTCCTCCCTCTCTCCCTCCACTCTATCTCAAGATAAAAATGCAAAAATGTCCTCAGGTAAGAATAATAATAAAAAAGGTCTATAATCATTTCTGCTGAAAACTAAATAACACATCATTTAAATTATGTATATTATTTTTGAATAAAATAAAATACTTTTAGTATGTATTTGTCTTTATACTTGAGAACATCTCATATCATAGATAAATGAGATAGAACAAATCAATAATAGCTGTAATAAATACATATTAATTAAATTTAGAAATGGAATATATTAGCATTTTAATTTTTTATTTTTATTTAATTTATTGGGGTGACAATGGTTAATAAAAGTATATAGTCTTCAAGTGTACAAATCTATAATATATAACCTGTATATTATATTGTGTGTTCACCACCCAAAGTCAAGTCTCCTTCTATCACCATTTATCCCAACTTTACCCTCTCTACCTTCCTTCACCTTCTTTCCCTGTGGTAATCACCATACTGAGTCTTTGAGTTGAGTTTTTTTTTTTCTTAATCTCTTCACCTTTTTCACCCAGTCTCCCAACCTCCCCCCTCTGACAGCATTCAGGCTATTCTCTGTATCTATGAGCCTGTTTCTATTTTTTAAATTTTGATCATTAGATTCCACATATAAGTGAAATTATATGGTACTTGTCTTTCTCTGACTGGCTTATTTAATTTAGCATAATACTCTCCAGGTCTATCCATGCTGTCACAAAAGATAAGATGTCCTTCATTTTATGGCCAAGTGGTATTCCATTGTGTAAATGTACCACTGTATTTTTATCCACTCATCTACGGATGGACACCTAGGCTGCTTCCAAATTTTGGCTTTTGTAAATAACACTGCAGTGAACATAGGGCTGCATATAGTCTTTCGGGTTTCTTCAGATACATTCCCAGAAGTGAAATTGGAGGGTAGTATGGCAGTTCGATTTTTAATTTTTTGCGGAAACTCCATATTGTTTTACATAGTGGCTGCACCAATCTGCATTCCCACCATCAGTGCACAAGGGTTTCCCTTTTCTCTACTTGATCAACAATGTTTGTTTGTTGATTTATTGATGATAGCTATTCTGACAAGTTTAAGGTGATATCTCATTGTGGTTATAATTTTCATTTCTCTGATGATTAGTGACATTGAGCATCTTTTCATATGGCCATTGACCATCTATATGTCCTCTTTGGAGAAGTGTCTATGCAGGTCCTTTGCTAATTTTTAAATTGGATTGTTAGGTGTGGGTTTTTTTGTGTGTGTTGAGTTTTGTAAGTTCTTTATAAATTGTGGATATTAATCCCTTATCAGATGTATTATTGGTGAATGTGTTCTCTCATTCAGTTGATTGTCTTTTTATTTTATTAGTGGTTTCCTTTGCTGTGCAAACACATTTTAGTTTGATATGGTTCCATTTGTTATTTTTCTTCTTTAGTTTCCCTTGTTCAAAAATATGTCAGAAAAAATATTACTACAAGAAATGTCCAATATTTTACTGCTTATGTTTTCGAGGATTTCTGCATCTACTAATATGATACGTTTTTGCATGTATCTGTCCAATTTTCCCAATAACATTTATTGAATTGTCTGATTTTATCCCATTATATATTTTTGCTTCCTTTGTCAAATATTAATTGACCATAAAGGCATGGGTTTATTTCTGGACTCATTCTGTTCCATTGATCTATATGTCTGTTTTTATGCTAGTATCATCATTTTTTAAAATTTTTATTACTGTGGCCTTATAGTATAATTTGATATCAGGTAATGTGATTCCCCCATGTTTGTTCTGCTTTGTCAAGATTGCTGTGGCTATTTGGAGTCATTTTGGTGTAGATTTTTTAAATATTTGTTCTATATCTGTGAAATATACCATTGGTATTATGATAGGAATTACATTGACTCTATAGATTGCTTTGGGTAGTATGAACATCTTAATGATGTTAATGCTTCCTAGCCATGAACACAGTGTATGCTTCCACTTATTTGTATCTTCTTTATTTTCTTTCTTTGGAGTCTTATAACTTTCTGAGTATAGGTCTTTTATATCCTAGCTTAAAGTTATTCCTAGGTATTTTATTTTTTTGATGCAATTGTAAATAGGATTGTTTTCTTAGTTTTCTTTTCTGATAGTTCATTATTGGTTTATAAAAATGTAACTGACTTCTAGATATTTATTTTGTATCCTACTACTTTACTAAAATTATCTATCAGTTCTAGTGTTTTAGTTTTAGTTTTTGTTTTTGTTTGGTGGAATCTTTGGGGTTCTCTATATATAGTATTATGTCATCTGTAAACAATGACAGTTTTACTTCTTCCTTTCCAATTTGGGTACATTTCATTTCTTCTTCTTGTCTGGTTGATGTGGCTAGGACTTCTAGTACAATGTTGAATAAGAGTGGTGAAAGCCTGTATCCCTGTCTTCTTTCTGATCTTAAGGGAAATAATTGTAGTTTTTGCCCATTGGGTATGATGTTGGTTGTGGGTTGGCCTTTATGATGTTGATGTATATTCCCTCTATTCCCACTTTGCTGAGGGTTTTTTATTTTTATTTTTTATAGTAGATGGGTGCTAGATTTTATCAAATGCTTTTCTGTATCTACTAATATGATCATGTGATTTTTATCATTTATTTTGTTTATGTGATGTATCACATTTATTAATTTGTGGATATTGAACCAACCTTGCATCCCATTTGACCGTGGTGTATGACCTTTTTAATGTATTGCTGGATCCGGCTTGCTAATAGTATGTTGAGGATTTTAGCATTTATGTTCATCAGGGATATTAGCCTACAATTTTCTTTCTTTGTAGTGTCTTTATCTGGTTTTGGAAATAGGATAATGTTGGCCTTGTAAAATGAACTTGAGAGTTTTCCAGCCTTTTGAATTTCTTGGAATATTTTGAGAAGGATAGGTGTTAATTTTTCTTTGAGTGTTTGGTAAAATTCACCTGTGAAGCTATCCAGTCCAAGACTACTGTTTGTTGGGATTTTTTTTTTTTTTTTTTTTTTTTTTA